AATTACACTTCTTCGTTACATTTGAATAGGATCTTGCATGTCTAATACACCGCCATCTAATTTGGTAGTCAGTTTTCTTGTCTTTCAAGCCCCATACATACTTCCTTAGCTCAGTGGAATTTCTGTAACGTTCATTTCTAAAGGAGCAAGTGTGGTTTCTGTAACGCGATTTGAATGATGTGTCACAAAGACCAATGTAAGTTTGCTTCGAGTGCGATGTCGTGACTTCTGCTTGGTATATGATATTCCGCTCGTTGCAGTTTCCGTCCATAGGGCAGGACCTTTTGTCACGGCAGTTGCAAGTGTTGATAGTTTGAACTGGTAAGTTTGATGACCTGCTAATGACGGCTTTATTGTGGTTCAAGATAATGGCTTTTACGTTGTTCATGCAGCTATAGCTAAGTTTGAGAGTGTTCCGGTTGAGAATTTTGTGCAGAGGATTTGATTTGGGAAAGTGTTTGTCGATTAAGGTGAGGAAGCACTTTCCAACTTTGGTATTGACATTTTGGCTGTACGGAGGATTGAACCAGATGATGTTTCTGGGCCTATTCTTGCGGTGTTTGGTGTCTGGGGAAGGTTTTCTGTAGGTGAGATTGTAATTGTAGCCGCTCTTGTTGAGGGCATCTTGGTAAGTACCTTTAGCTTTTTCAAAGGATTCCTTGTCGGAAGAAATGTCTGAGAGGCGCTTGTTTATGGATTCCGGGATATTTTTTAGGATGGATGGCGGATGATTGGATTTCTTGTGAACATAGAGTGGGATGTTTCCTTCTTTTGTGTAGGGGTAATGCTTGCCCGATTGGAGGTCAAGGGTGACATCTAAAAAATTGACTTTAGTCATGTTGGCTTCGACTGTGATTTTTAAGTCGTTTTCACGGAAAATCTGAGAAACCCTTCTTGATTTTTTCGATCTGTTGGGGCTTTGCGTTGAATGCTGCTAAACCATCGTCTTTGTATAGGTCGATGCTGTTGCCATACTTTCTGGTAAACCCATTGAGCACTTTTTAGTTGATGATCAATTTGAATTTTGTCATTTCATTTTATATCTCATATAAATATAAATACTTGTATTCTGGGTAGAATGTACTTCGTAGAGCGCTCAATTCATTTAATTGAAGAGCATTGGCTATATTAATAAGTTCACAGGAGCTCAGGCTTCAGGAGTAATCATCGATCATTTATTGCAACAGTGCTGTTTCGTATGGTCCGAAATTATAGGACCACACTCATCCAGCAAATTCAACTTCATATGTATATATACTATATATAGAGTGACTTAAGATGACTTACCAATTGATTAAAAGAGTTCCACTTCTCCAGTGAAATTTGGGAAAACTGGAGGGCTTTGTCCCACATTCCAGCTCGTTTGGCAGCCTCCTTCAGCAGAAACTATAACAATATGGTATAAGGTATATATATATATATATATAGGAAATAGGAAAAAAACTACACTTTCATCTCGACAAGCCTGTTTCGTGATCACTCACTCTTCAGGGCATTTAATGATAGAATATTCAAAACCATCGGCTATATAGTTTTAGATTACATCGTTGGGGAAAATTTAAATTTAAATGTTTAGTTGTTACGTAGCAATGCTTTGTTTCTGTGGCACCAAGAAGATACAAGCTTGTTACGTTTGTTAAGTGATGATAGATTGGGACGACAGATAATTAAAAATTTCTCTTTGAGGCAAAGGTTACATCTTTTACTTGAACTGTTGTAGGATGAGCTAGATGAAATGATACGCCATGAAATAGAATAGTCAATGTTGTTGTCTTTCAGGGACCAGACATGTTTACTGAGTTCCGTAGAGTTCCTGTGTTTTGTGTGACGAAATGACGCAGTGTGGTTTCTGTATCTAGTTTTGAAGGGGTTTTCTGTAAGTCCGATGTATGTTTCAGAAGTGTTATTGTCGTTACGTTTGACGGTTGCTTGGTAGATAACTGATGATTGAAGGCAGTTTCCGTTAAGAGGGCATGTGTTCTTTTGTCAGCAGTTGCATGATTTGTTGTCAACAGAGTTATCTGTGGATTTAACTCTGTGTTTGGGTGAATTCAGGATATGTTTGATGTGGTTGTCGATAATTTGTTTAGTGTTATTCATGCAACTGTAGCTGATCTTGATGGTATTGCGGTTGAAGATTTTTCTGAGTTTGTTCTCTTTAGGGAAGTGTTTGTCTACTAGGGTGAGGAATCTGTGACCGATGTCGGTGTTGACGTTTTTGCTGAATGGGGGGTTGTACCAGAGGATGTTGTTGCGTTGTCTGTTTCTCCATTTAGCAGTTGTAGAAGGTTCGTAGTGTAGAGTGTAGTGGTATCTGCTTTCGTCGAGTGCTTTTTGGTATGGGGGGTGGCTTGGTCGAATGATGCTTTGTCCAATGAAAGGGATGACAGCCGTCTGTTGATGCCGGCGGGTATGTTCTTTGTGGTGATCGGTGGGTGGTTGCTCTCACGATGGGCGTGGTGTTTGGTGACGTCTAGGAAGTTAATGACCTGTTTATTGG